AATAAATATAGATTCTTTCAAGGCAATATTATTTTCATTTTTTCTTTAAGTTTAGGTGTCTTTTTGCGACTAGAGGGCAATTGATTGCTTCTTGAAAGATTCTTTCACTGTAATTTTTGAAAATAATCTGACTCCTTCTCGGAAATGTATTTTCCTTTTCTGTTATTGTCACATTTTAGGAATTGGAACAATCTAATTCCTTCTTGAAGAATTACTTTTTTACTTAAGTTAATTTTACAAATGATTCTTTTATTTATTTATATTTAAAATTTTGAGGATGTTTTAAAACCTTCGAACATAATTTAATTCCTTATCGAAAAGTGTCAACTTTATTTAATTCGAATTTAAATAATACATGCATAATGTATGCACATAAAAACTAATATTATTATAAAAGCTCAAATTCTAATATAAAATTTTAAAATAATTTTTTAATCTTTCAAAATACATTCTATGCTGGATAAAGTCGTATTCACAATCAATTTTTTAAAAGCCTCATTATTTTTCTTGTATTTATTATTTGATTTTTTAGTAAATTTATAAACTTTATAAATTCCTTGCATGGTGGTATTGGAAATAGTCTCTTTAACTCACATAAGGTCTACATACACCCCACATTCTCTAAACCTTACTTGTGGGAACAAGGGTACGTTATTGTTATTATTGTTGATAGTACTTGAAAAGAATTAGATGTTCTTAAAAGTTTTCAAGTTCTTTATTATAATTCTCGAATTAAATTAAAAACAATAAAAATTGTAACTAATATAACGCAATTATAAGTAGTGGCGAAATCAGAAAATTTAACAAATGAATTTAGAAAAATGTAAACTAGCATAGTGATTGATACACTAAGCTATCAAAGGTATTTGACAATTCATACACACATATATGGAGTCTAATTACTCAATGGTCATTCAACTATCCCAAATTATCTTCTAAAGTCAATTTTTTTTTTTTTGTAACAACAAAGTCACTGAACTATGCCTATTGCACTCAGAAGGTCACTCAACTAGATTTTCCAAATTTTGAATTGCCAAATACCTATTTTACCCTCTAAATTATAAACATTTATCTTCTTTTTATTTTTTTAAAACTTTTTAATATTATGATTTTTCCTTTTTAACTTATATTACGGACTTACCTATAGAATAAATAAATATTATTTACAAATTAAAAAAATAAAAAATATTTAAGCATTTAATGCTAGAATAATAAAATAATGAGTATAGTAAAAAAATTAATTAGAATAATTTGTTAGTAATAATAATTTTATTATTAACAACAAAAATTCAAAACTTTATTTACACAATTCAGAATGAAAGAAAATAAAGGTTGTAACATATATATTCTATGCATGTAATATAAAAATAATTATTAAATAAAGGTATTTTATAATATACATTATATATTCTTGAAAATTATGCTCAATTATGTTATACATATCCCGTGCACGACTTAACATAGCATATTTTATCCTATACAGATAGTCCCCCTGCTTTCNTATATGCTTAAATACTTTTTTTTTAATTTATAAATAATATCTATTTATTCTATAGGTAAGTCCATAATGTAAATTAAAAGGGAAAAAATCATAATATTAAAAAGTTTAAAAAAAATAAAAAGAAGATAAATGTTTATAATTTAGAGGGTAAAATAGGTATTTGGCAATCCAAAATTTGAAAAATCTAGTTGAGTGACCTTCTGATTGCAATAGGAATAGTTCAGTGACTTTGTTGTTACAAACGGAAGAAAAGTGACTTGAAGAGATAATTGGGATAGTTGAGTGATCATTTGTGTAATGGACTCCATATATATGTATGTATAAAAAAAATTATTTAACATACTTGTACAATGTAATTTTTCAACGAATGAGATTCTTTTTTTTTTTTGGTAATTCACAATATTATTAATCACCAAAGAATCAAATTACATCGTATAGTGGCCATCTCAGCCTATACACAATTCTACCCTATACTCCTATCCTTAACAACCTCATTCATCCAGTCTACACATATAACTCTATATCCTATAAAAGCCTTTGCTGTAGGACTTCTTTAAGTTTGCCTTCAGCCCGTACATTTGTCGCGACCCAATTCCCACCCGGTCGTGATGGCGCCTCTCGTGAAGACAAGGCCAGCCAACAGAACAATCAACACTACTCTTGACAATTTCTTAGCATAAACAGGTTTAAACCATAGATACTGATTAATCGTAAGTGCGGAAATAAACGTAACATAACGGGGAAAAACCATCCCAACCTCAGCCGATGATCGGGGTGTCACAAGTCACGAGCTACTATAGAGTTGGTGAAAATACTACAAGTCTGGAAATATAGTCTGAAGATGAATAAAATATGCAGAAGATAAGGAAGAAAACGGGGTTGTGGACGTCGACAGCTACCTCGTCTCTCCTAGTCCGCCTGGTCTGGAAGGAAATCAGCGCTCAGGTACGAACTCAGCTGTGCCTGTCTCTGCACACATGGTGCAGGAAGTAATGTGAGTACTCCGACCCAGTGAGTAATAAAATTAAATAACGACTGAGAACATAAAATCCCACAAGGGCACAAATAATGCTATCTCAAGCAGCAACATCAGATAAACAGTAGAAACCAGTGAAATATAGGAAGAAAATCTCTTTGAAAACAATTAATAAAACAAGTATGCTCAAGTATGGTCAGCCATTGTTACCTGACCAAACGCGTACTACAGTGCCATTGTTACCACTGGTCAGTCATTGTTACCTGACTGGTCAATCATTGTTACCTGACCAAACGCGTATAACAGTGTCATTGTTACCACTGTTCAATATTTAATCACTCTAGATGGGTAGCCACGCTCACTGTGGGTGTGCAGACTCCGGAGGGGCTCCTACAGCCCAAGCGCTATCAACAAGGCCTGAAAGCCTGAACAGTATCAACACGAGGCCTGAAAGCCTCCTCACCTCACTCATCATGCCCTCACATAAGGCCCTCGGCCTCAATCAGTCCAGAAATAGTCAACAGCCCCTCGGGAAACAGTAAAGCAATGATACTCAGCTCAAACAATAGTTCAAATATCAGTTTAAAACTCCAGGTTTGAGTAAATATGGCTGAGTTCAAGAAAACAGTGTAAATCACATGGACTGAGTTCAAATAATATTTCAAACAGTGAGGAAAACAGTGATGATAGTTCATAAAGAGTTCAAACAGTCGGCACTAAGCCCTAAATATGGCAATAAGCCCAAGTCACAGTGAAAACAACAAGTCATTGCTAATACGCGGTAAAATATCATTCGGACTGGACCAAGTCACAGTCCCCAATAGTAAATGACCCCGCGCTCGTCATGGAACGCGTGTCTCATCTCAACATAGCACCAAGTTGTGCAAGTCCGGGGTTTTCAAACCCTCAGAAACATCATTTAAAATCATTACTCACCTCTAGCTGGTCAAAGTCTAGCTCGCTATGCCTTTTCCCCTCGAATCGACCTCCTCGCGCGTCGAATCTGATCAAGACCACAAGAAATACATCACAATAGGCTAATGGGTCATAACCCAATCGAAAAGACTCGAAAAATATCAAAAATCACGAAGTTGGCAAAACCCGAGCCCCGGGCCCACTTCTCGAAAAATTACGAAATTCACATCTCCGGATTCCTCGTCTCGCCACGAGTCCATACATATCAAAATCATCAAAATCGGGGTCCATTTGACCCCTCAAATCCCTATTTTAAACTCTCTTAAATTCAAGCCCTAAACCACCATTTTTGACCTTTGATTCCTTGATTATTCAGTCCAAATTCATGTTTATACACCATAAAATCAAGCTCTAAGTCCAAGAGTTCATACCTGATAATAGCCCTCGAATCCCTCTTCAAAATCGCCTCAAAGCTCTCAAGGTTCGGAGTCCAAAATGTTACTCTTTCAAAAATTCGCGAGGAAGATGTTTTCACTTAACCTGCCAGTTATTTCCGCTTCTGCGGATTAATTCCCGCTTTTGCGTCTTCCGCTTATGCGGTCAACGTCCGCTCCTGCGGACCTTTCACTTAAGACGACTTTCCGCTTCTGCGGTCCAACTTCGCATCTGCGGGACCGCTTAAGCGACCCAATGTCCCGCTTCTGCGGAACCTGACCTGGGCTCCTATTTCCGCTCCTGCGAGGCCTAGCTCGCTTCTGCGAGACCGCATCTGCGATCTCCTTTCCGCAGATGCGGAAACACCTGCTGCAACCAAAAACCTGCAATTTTCCAACTTCAAATTCCTTCCGTTAGCCACCCGAAATCACCCCCGAGGCCCCCGGGACCTCAACCAAAGTTACCAACACATCTTAAAACATTATTCAAACTTGTTCCAATCCTCAAAACACGCCTAACAATGCTAAAACCATTAAATCACATCGAATTCAAGCCTAAGTTTCTTCAAAACTTCCGCAATACGCATTCGATCAAAACTCGACCCAAAACATCTCCGAACGACCTGAAATTTTGCACACACATCCAAAATCACCTAAAGGAGCTACTGAAACTCTCGGAATCCATTCCGACCCTCGGATCAAAATCTCACCTACCAACCGGAATTTGCCCAAAATACTAACTTCGCCAATTCAAGCCTAATTCTACACCGGACCTCCAAAACCAATTCCGATCACGCTCCTAAGTCACAAATCATCCCCCGAAGCTAACCGAATCTCCGGAAATCACATCCGAGCCCTCTAACCAACTAGTCAACTTCCGGTTGACTTTTCCAAAACAAGCTTTCCTTAGAGAGACTAAATGTCTCATCTCCTACCAAGACCAAACCGATCCAACTCGATTACCTCAAATATCGATAATGAAGCATAGAGAAACATAATATGGGAAAAACAGGGCGGTAACTCACGTGACGACGGGTCGGGTCGTCACAACATTACATGTATATGCTATCTCTCTAATAATGCTCTTAGTATCTTTATGTGCTTTTTCAAAAACTCTATGGTTTCTTTCAGTCCATATACTATATAAAGTTTGAGCTAGAACCATTCGCAAGAGCTATCCTTCAACAGTTTTCTTCTTTGCTTTCTCCACAAACCATGCTATTAACTGATCCCATATTTTTATTTGCACCTGGATGTGCAGCCAGTTGAAAATTCCTGCCCATAGTTCAGTGGTGGTAGTACATTCCCAGAATAGATGAGCATGAGTCTCTGGATGATTTCCACACAGAACACATATTGGATCAACGTTAATGTTCCATTTGTTCAACCTATCAGTTGTCATCATTCTCTCTTGGATGATCAGCCACATGGAGAACAATGTTTTAGGCCTTGCTAGATTACTAAACATGATTGCTTTCCACTCAACTTTAGGTAGTGCTCCAATTTGCTGCAAGTACAGCTAACGAATAAGATTCACTTGAACTGCTCTTCAATACGTTTAGCTCCACCATTTCATATAATTAAATTACAAGCGTCAACTGTTGAAAAACCTTTTAAGCGCCAAAGATGATATTATAAATATGAAATCAAAATAAAATTAGCATAATTCTAATAAAAAATTGGTGTATTTGCAATAAAGTACAATCTTTTGTTAAATAATTAAAATCCTTTAATTTTTTTAATTAAATCAATTAAAATAATTATATTTTCACTATAAAAATTATAGAATTGGCGATAGTTTTTTAATCAACAACCATAGTACAGGTCATTATAAATGGAAATAATTTGATTTAATTATTGGTAAACATAATAAACTTTTAATTAGTAGTTTTTGCTTGTCAACTAAAAATTGATCTTATGCTTTTGAGTAACATAAAAAATTTAAAGTGAAAATAAATTGACAACAATTAAAGAGCGGCAAGTGGTACTTTGGGTATCTTGTTTTATTCAATTTCAAAGTTGTATGAAAAAAAGTAGCGGCAAGTTTCCCTCATTTTCTTTTTTGTGTTCTCAAATCCCCTTTTTAAGTTTGAGTACTACCGCCTCCTATTTCTCAATTCTCCCCCATTTCTCTCTTTAACTCTTTACGTGACTTTTAGTTCTACATTAAATTGTTGCACCAGTTAGATCTGCTATACTGCTTCCATAATATTTTATTTCTTTTTCTTCCACACACAGAGATCCTCTTATTCGATAATACTTAATTTTCTCTGTGACAACCCAAAGGGTCATCACTTGTTTTCTTACCCATTTTGTACTTCCGAGGCCTTGAAAACCTCATTAGGGTTGCCTCGATTTGCGTGCGTAGTCCGGGCGCGTAGCTGGAAAGCTTAAATATGAATTCTATGAGAAAAATGCTAAATTTTGATATTAAAATGAATAAATTTGACTTCGGTCAACGTTTTGGATAAATGGATCCGGACCCGTAATTTGACGGTCCCGGAGGGTCCGTAGGAAAATATGGGACTTGGGCGTATGCCCGGAATTGAATTCCGAGGTCCTAAGCCCGAGAAATAAATTCTTGTGTGAAATTGTTTTCTGGAAATGATTAAGGAAATTGGAAATGAAATTTGATTAGGAGACTATGGTATCGAGCCCGTATTTTGGTTCCGGCGCCCGGTACAAGTCTTATATATGATTTAAGCACTTTCTGTAAAGTTTGGTTGAAAACGGACGTCGTTTGACGTGTTTCGGACTTAAAATGGAAATTAGATGTTTTATGAAAAATTTGGAAGAAATCATGAGCTTTGAGGCTTGATTTGAGGTATATGATATTATTTTGGCGATTTGATCGCACGGATAAGTTCGTAGGATATTTTTGAGGTTGTGTGTATGTTTGGTTTGGAGCCTCGAGGGCTCGGGTGAGTTTCGAGTAGGTTCCGGGATGCCTTAGGCTTAAAATACCAGATGTTGCAGGTTCAGGAAAATATTGCAGACTCTGAACCCTCCAGCGCGGTCCGCGAGAAATCGCGTGCGGCCGCGGAGGGGCCAGCGCGGCCGCGGTCGCCTTTGCGCGGTCCGCGGTTGGTGCTGTGCGGCCGCGATCGCCTTTGCGCGATCCGCGGTGGGTGCTGCGTCCGCGGTCGTCTTTGTGCGGTCCGCGCAGGGAACTTCAGAGATCAGCAGGTCTTCAAGTAGGTCAGCGCTGCCGCGATCGCTTTTTGCGCGGTCCGTGCAGGGGACTTCCGAAGGGTATAAATAAACGGGAATTTCAGTCATTTTTCACTTTTGAAAAACCCAAAAACATAAGACGCGATTTTCCCAACGATTTTTCTTCTTCAAAACGATTGGTAAGTGACTTCTAACTCATTTTCTTCACTCCTTAGCATTTTTTAACATAATTACAACTTTAAATCAAAGATTTTAATGGGGAAGTTTGGGTATGTTGGGTAGAACCTAGGTTTTTTAAAAATTGGGGATTTGGACCTCAATTTGAGGTCCGATTTCAAAACAAATTACATATTTGGGTTTGTGAGGAAATGGGTAACCGGGTTTTGGTTCGAACCTCGGATTTGGTCCGGGGGCATTTTTGACCTTTTTGGGTAAACCTTGGGAAAACTTATTTTCATTCATTGGGGATGATTCATTTAGCACTTATTAATGTAACTAAGTAAATTGTGACTAGATTCGAGCGGATTGGTGGAGAAATCAAGGGGTAAAGCTATAATTGAGACTTGAGTTGTGTTCAAGGCATCGAGGTAAGTGTTTGGTCTAACCTTAGCTTGAGGGAATAGGAGTTGAGTCTTATTTGTTACTTGCTAATTGTCGAGTACAATGTATAGGCATGGTGACGAGTATCTATACATTAGTGTCTAGCATGACCGTGAGTCCTTATTTTGTGAATAGTTTGGATTTTGTTATACCTTCCATGCTTAATTGATGACTTCTATATGTTGTAAGGAGTTTGTGAAAGAAATTGTGATCTTTAAACTCGTGGAGCGTTGGCTCAAGTTGAAATACAAATTGTGAAGGTATATGAGATAAGTAAAACTTTGGAGCATTGGCTCGAGCGATAATGTGAACTATGAGATGAAAGTGAAAGAAGGAGAAAGAGTTAATGATCTATTCTCTTGCCGGGACGTTGTTGATTATTGAATATTTTCCCTTGCCGGGACGTTGAGATTATTGATGTTGTGCCCTTGCCGGGTTCTTAATTATTTGTTTGTATTCCCTTGTCGGGGTTTCCATTATTGTTTTATTATTCCCTTGCCCTTGTTTGTGATTGTTGATTGGATGAGGAAGAGTGTTAAAGCACGAAGGGTGATGCCGTTCATTGTTTGTTTCTTGTGAGGAAAGAGTGTAAAGCACGAAGGGTGATGCCGTGACTGTTTGCTATTGTGAGGAAAAGAGAGTAAAGCACGAAGGGTGATGCCGTGCCGCACGATGTGCCATTCCGTGCCGATTCTATTAATTATATGTGAGGAATGAGAGTAAAAGCACGAAGGGTGATGCCGTGCACCTTTCGTTATACTATTGCTTGGTGAGGATGAGAGTAAAAGCACGAAGGGTGATGCCGTGCACTTGTTGATCTCTGTTCCATATTATTGCATGAATTGTGCTTTTCCTTCGTTACTAGGCAACTTTTACTTGAAACTGTTATCTCCCCACAGCATGCTTCCCCTCCCATATTGTTTACTTGTCTTGTATTTCAATTCCGCTGTGTAT